AGTGAGACATAAATGTATATAACTCTTAATTAGCTTCTTTATTTATTTGCCTTTGTAATATTTACGTTATTTATGTATTTTTGTTGGCAATATAAAATATAAGTACTTAAAAAATAAAGTTGAAGAATATAAAGGACAAAAAAAGCTATCTATCTATGAGCTATCTTTAGAAATCTGAAAATTGTATCCAATGATGAACCAGACTTGTAAAGGTACGCAGTTCCTTTTTCATAGATCTTACTTATTTCTGTTTTTTTTTTTCCCATGATGTCACAGAAGAAGAAGCTGTGAAGGTGAACCTCCAATGAACTCAAATGTACTGAATAATTCAGTTTCGGAGGCTCACAAAGCTCTAATATATTCACCTAGTTTTCCCAGATTTGTTTAAACGCAAACCATTGTAAGACGTCTTTGAATACCCAAAACGTCTGACCCAGTTCAAGGAGTAAAAGACAGTCCTAGCATTAAAATAATAATATAAATAAAAATATTAATATCATTAATATTAAGGTAGTGTGTGTAACCTTGTGAATTTGATTATATTTATTAGTCAGGTAATAGAATTACTGAAGATGGATAACTGGTGGCGAGACGTAAGCTTGGTTAGTTAGTGACCACTTACACCATAATAAACTTTCATGCTTTTCAGTCTGGCTTTAGAGCTCATAGGCATAGGTAGGCTTTTCTTTTTGATAAAGCTTATAGTTAGAGTGGCTCGGGTTATCCTGAGCTATCTCTATAGTTATGCTACTATAGGCTTAGACTGCTGGAGGACATAGGGACCCCTTTTTCATCATTCTGCTTCCTTCTATCTATATTCTCCCAATCTGCAGAATTTGCTAGTTCAATCTCCCGTTTAGCTGTGATTCCATCCTGGAGAGAAATATCAGCTGTGCTGCAGCCATAAATACCTTTGTTTATAGATTCTGGAGCTTAGCCTGTTTTTAAGTGTAGTCCTGTTTCTCTGAGTGACTAACTAGATGTGCTCTCTTCATCCTCTAACATAGGAGCTGGCTAGGAGCTTGTCTTTCTTGCTATGTGTTTCCTGGACGGGGCCGCCTGTGGAGCTGACTGCCAGTTGCCTTTTGTATCTCTGATTCTTTCTGTATGTCTGCCAACAAGACGAGGAAGGCAACTTGATAGATGACTCAGAACGACAAAATAAAGGCTTCTGTTTTCATTTATACAATCATTATTATTTATACTGTATACAACATGTATCCCTCTACATATTTAATACATTTATTCTTTTAGCTACCAGTGTTTGTGCCAATCCACAGCAAGTTGTATTCCAGGGTGTGAGCGACATCTACCAAATAAAACCCATCCAAAACAGCCTCAGAATTAAAATATATTACAGGACCAAGAAAATTTGAATAATCTCATTAAGTGAGAAAAGCCCTTTTTTTCTACCTAGCCCAGCAAATCGGTCACAGAATTGTTGACGCAAATGAAAGCACCAAATGGAAAATAATCATAAAGATAATCTTAAACTCAAGGCTTTGTTTAAAGTGAAAAGACAATGCTGACTACTACAGTTCTGTTCAGCAAAGGTTCAGCTATGATTAACAATTGTTAGAATCCTCTTGTCCACATCAATTCTTTTGATGACTGTAAGAGTTTGGACCTTGTGCGGGCGTGTTCTAAAATGGGAAGCTATGCAGATGGGAAGTGACTGTATAAACAAACCTCTGTGAGGGAACAGAGTGCAGTTTTTCTTGGAGCTCACTACTTCATGCTTTATGTAAATTAGTAAATCTTTTGTTCTAGTTTAACATTGCAGACCAAAACAGTTTATCTTATCAAAGCTATTGCTGCACAGCTGTTCTAGTTTTAAACTGAGCAGAGGGAAATGCTACATTTAGAGATATACCCATATAAAAAAAAGTCACTTTTAACTTATAAAATAGCCATTACTCTAAATTGTCTTGCATTTCTAGAATGAGTCTAGCAGAATGGAGCACAGTTTGAACAGAAATAATCAACTCTTAATAAAGATTTGGCATCAAGAGTAAAACAGCATGTTCTGTGGACAAGATAATTGTATCATATCAAGTATAAATCAGTCTCTCTTTGGGATTAAGTCAAGTCAACATGATAAAATATAGACAGAACTGGATAGTGGGTAGGGATAAAAATAATGGGGGGAAGGGAAATTTGAGATGGTGATTAAAAATAAATAAAGCACATTTAACAATAATGTGTTCTTTCTTAGACAAATATCTGCTAATCATTTGGAAACTATGTTTTAGTACGTTTTCCTTACCAGAACTTGTGTAAACATAAAGATTAGTAGATGTTAATACCCCTAAATCTAATTTCCAAACCACACTTCCTGTACAAGATAGTGCCAAGCATTTTGTTTGTTTATAACAACAACTCTAATCTCTACTGTAAATAAGGTATTGTCAGATAAACTCATGTCACATAGATAAGAGGGAAAGACGCAGGAAATGCATTCCCTAAGGATTAAAGATATGTTATTGTTTTCAATTAAAACAAAAGAGAAAAAAGTACACAACACATGCAGACACACAAACATGCACAAAGTCACCAGGTTGTCTAACTGTCTAATTGATCTAAATTTTCTGAGGAAACATCCTTGGGGCTGCATGGTTGGTATGAAAGCCATGAAAAACAGAGAGTTTTTGAGTTCAAATACTGCCCTGGGGTCTTTCTGCATGGAGTTGGCATGTTCTCCACGTGCATGCATGGGTTCTCTCCGGGTACTCCAGCTTCCTCCAACAGTCCAGAAACATGAGTGTTGCTTCTCTAAATGGTCTTTAGTTGTGAGGGTGTGTGTGCATGGTTGTGTGTCTTTGTCTCGGTGTAGTGACCTGTCCTGGGTATACCGCCTTTTATCCATTGACTGTTGGAGATTAGCACTGAGCCAACCGCGACCCTGACAGGACTATGTCGGTGAAGATGGAAGGATGGATATTGTTGTGTTAACTATTCAAGTCATCTTCTTCTTCTTGTTGGATTTATTGGTTTGGTTTATTGATACATATATATAATTTCTAAGGGGAAAAAAAAGACAAAACAAAAACAGCAAAAAAATAAATACTTATACATAACATTGTATTCTACCCGTCTATATCATACACACATTCGCCCTCTCTATAATCAAATTTCATGAAATAATTTAGTTTTCTTTAAAAATCAAATAATTATTTGTATTTGTTTACTTCCCAATTTCTACCTCAAAATATCTAATAAATGAATCTTTTCCTTAATACAGTCAAACTCTCTCCTCATATATCTTCTATTGCTTTCATATTTATGACATTCCAGTATAAGATGTTCTATTGTTTCATATTTTCCACAGTAGCCTAATCACATTTGCCAGTAGTATGCTTTTGAATTTTGGAAAGTGTATAATTAAGTCCTGTATGCCCAAATCTCAACCTTGTTATCACTCTCTCCTCCTTTCTATTTCATCTTCCATTTCTTCTTTTTCCTATTATCTTCTGAATTTTATAAAACCACCTTCCTGTTTTTTCTTCATCCCACCCTTTTTGCCATTTCTCCATCAAATTTTCTTTAATAATACTCTTTACCTCTGATTTACTTGTTTTAACTGTAAAACTAAAAGGATTTTGAATTGCCCTCTTTGCCATTTTATCTGCCCTCTCGTTTCCTTTTTCTCCAGTATGTGCTGGAACCCACACAAATACAGCAATCAAACCCATATTTTTTTATTCTGAATAATGTTTGAAATATTTCTAATAGAATGTCCATCCTACTATCTAACTGATTATATTTCAAAATTAATAATGCAGAGCTTGAATCTGAACAAATTACCATTTTTAATGGTTTTATATCTTCTACCCATTGTAAAGCTAGTAATATTGCCAACATTTCCCCTGTGTATACTGATAATCCATCTGAAATTCGTTTTCCTATTTCTATTTTGAATTCTGGTATTACAAAAGCTATTCATGTTTTCCTTGTTATTTTTGATGCATCTGTATAAATTGGAATATATTGATTATAACTGTCTAAATGTAACTGTACTAAATTAATATCTACCGTGTACGATTAATTCAAGTCATCTTTGGAGCGAATTAGTTTTCATTGTTTAACAACAGCGCCCTCTTCTGTCTGAAGTCAGTAACTACTTCCCCCGGATTGGCTAAGCGGTTGTCAGGAGTGTTTACAGGAAACATGGCTTCTCTGTCTGTAGGAGAGCATCAAGAGATGGAAGGTGAGTATAAAGAAAATGTTCCAAAAAACCCATCGTGGTTTGGCGGTATAGTTTTGATAGAGTATAAATCATTTGAAAAATGCTTTTTGCTGTTTAATGTTGGCGCTCTGGGCGACCCGTTGTTATCTTAAGACCCAGACCTTCATCTTGGTTTCCTTGGCTAGCACAAAGCGTTAGCTGAACCCATTTAACATCTGGAATATTTGTATTTATCGTCGTTTTTTGCTCTAAGTGTTGATGCTGCCTGGTTGGACGCATGCATATTTATATAATTAGGAATACCTCTGCGTTTAGCGTACTTAAATTGTCTCTAACTTGAACGTTAGTAGTCGTTTATTGAGTTAACCAGTTACTTAGCATGTTTAGCATCCTTTAGAGTGCAGTTCAACCTGCTAACCTGTGCTAACGATTGGTAAGACTTGAAATATCGTCGAGACATTACATTAAGGGGGCTAACGTTTTTATTTTAATAAACTAAAGTGGTAATATTTTGCTTACATCCAACCTAAACATGTTATTATGAGCAAATGTATTGTTATAAAGCTATAGGTGGCTTACAGGGAGTCTTTAATGCTCCTCCTAACTAAGGCATCATCGGATGTTTCATTTGGTATATTGGATTTTCTTTTTCAACTAAGCTGTTAGATGCAGCTTTAACATTGCTTTAAAGGAGCTCTTTAATGACATTAGATTTATGTATGTGGAGTAGAAATTAAGGTAGTTAGAGCTTTTATAAAGCTTAATCTCAGGGCTGAACCAATAACCTATAATATTACACTGAAACTGTGTAACACTTTAAGGCTACATCTGTACCGTATATTGATGATTTAATGGAGACTGGACAGCTTTAGCCCTTTCTGCTGAATTAAAGAAGGGTATAATGAGTATGCTTCCATGGTCATTGGCTATAGTAAAAACTGGATCCCATATAGCAAATAAAAAGCTGTTATTAAAAGGGCCTTACAGGATGTGGTTTTATTCCAATTCAAGGGTTTGAAACAAAGATATCAGTCACAGATTTATAGTAACTAAAGTTAACATTGAATGACATGCATTTTTAATTGCAGCCATTTAGTAAAGTAAGGAATTTTTTCTACATTTCAGTCGACCGTAGGGGTGAGTCTGAGGAGTCTGGTGATGATGAGACCAGAAGAAAGAGTATCAATGGTGATGTGGACCCAAATCAGCCAACAAGCACGAGTGAGTCATCATTAGCTCCCACATGCTCAGCAGAAACCGATTTATTTGATGTTTCTGAATCACATAATGGAATAAATGTGAGATAAAGTGCTAATTTTGATAGATTTTTTTTCTTCTGTGTCATATCTTTCCTATTTTTATCTCCACTTAAAATGTTCTTATCTAATTTTTCATTCCCTTAAGTTAAAGAAGAGTCCCCTGTTGACATGGACACTATAACCCTGGATCCAGAGGAAGAGGTCAGAAAACTTGAATGTTTTTTCTTTTTATTATTATTTACTAATATAAAAAAAAAAATCTTGTGTGAAGTTAAGTTTGTAAATTGACATAATTTAGGGTTCATTTTAATTCACGGACTGTTCATGTCTTGTGTCATCTTAATTTCTCTCTTTCTTTCCAGGATGTTGATCTAGTTCATTGTCGTATTGGAAAAATTGAAGGGCTGGAGGTGCTACAGAAAGCTAAAGTAAGAATGTTGGATATTTAGTTGTTTTTTGTTTTGTTTTTTTGAGTGCTGATGAAAAACTGAGTTTATTTTTGTACTCTTTTGATCCATAAAAATAGATTATACTCAAAGAGTGGTTCTGAGTGGCTTTATTCATTTTTTTCTATCCCTTGTCTCTCCTCTTATCCAGACTCTATCCCTAAGACAGAACCTCATCAAAAAGATAGAGAACCTTGAGAGCTTGAGCTCGCTTCGAGAACTAGATCTCTATGACAATCAAATCCGCAAGTTAGAGAACCTGAGCAGTCTCAAGGATTTAGAGTAAGTCTTGTATATGTCTAGCCAGAAAATGTATGTGGAGTTATTTGATGTTCATTTTGCATGTAATCCACAGGGTGCTCGATGTTTCCTTTAACATTTTGAGGAAAGTGGAAAACCTGGACGAGTTAACCAAGCTGAAAAAGCTGTTTCTGGTCCACAACAAAATCACAGCCATTTCCAACGTGGACAAGCTTACTGGCCTAGAGATGCTGGAGCTGGGCTCTAACCGCATTAGAGTGAGTCATAAAGAGTCTGTTTCATCTGTGATTTATACTTGAGCCGTGCCTTCATCCTTTTGTCTTGTATTTACAGGTGATTGAAAACCTGGATGCTCTTTCATCTTTGCAAAGTTTGTTTCTTGGAACCAATAAAATAACAAAGCTTCAGAATCTTGACAATTTACACAATCTGACTGTTTTAAGCATTCAGGTACCAATTTTTCACTTAAGCGTTGGGGTTAGGGGGCATAAAAGGAGACTGATCGATAATATCCTGCATATTTCCTTACAGAGTAACCGGATAACTAAAATTGAAGGACTTCAGAACCTGGTCAACCTGAAAGAGCTCTATCTGAGCCACAATGGCATTGAGGTCATAGAGGGCCTGGAGAACAATGTGAGTTATGGAGACTTCTGTTGTTAAAAAGGGATTTAAGGAAAAGTGTTTACTTGGTCCTCTATCTTCCAACAGTTTGTAATTAATATGATTTTTTTCTCATACAGAAAAAACTCACCACGCTGGATGTTGCTGCCAATCGAGTAAAGAAAATTGAGAACATCAGCCACCTGACAGAGCTGCAGGAGTTTTGGGTATGGATTGTTTCAAAGATAATATCAATATATCAATTACATTTTACCTTTCAGGTAGCACTTATTGAAATGAGCACAGCCTTTTATCATATCAAATTTGCATAGTTGCATTATATGCCTTTAGGAAAAAAAATCAAAGACCATTGGATCATGATGAAATAAGCTAGCAAACTCCAGCTTAGATCAGAGGTCACCAACCTCCTGCCAAGGGCCTTCAAGGGGCCCCATGAAAACAGCACAACTCACCAGTGGACTAAGTTTAACATTTTATTTGATCCTGTTTTTCTTCTTTTTCAAATCACATGTAGAGATTTCAAAATGACAGAAAATTAGAAATTATAAGAAAAACATTAAGAATATGTTTATTATGCCTGAAGCTTTGGTTAACGCTAACCCCTCCTCATCAGTCAGTACTGGTAGCTCATGACTCATTACCCATGAAGTAGCTCTGAGCTAAATCTAAAAAGTTCGGTGACCTCTGGTTTAGATGGTCCTTTTTTGAGTCTAAATAGAATTCCAGCACAGGTTGGAATGAGCACACACAAACGGACTTGTGTGCCATCTGTTATTAAATATCAAAATATTACATTAGACCTTTAAAAAGAGACTTTTTATTAAGTATCTCGCTGTGGTTGAATGCATTTTTTCTATAAAAATATAACACCCCCCCCATGGGGAACCTCTACAAAAAGATCCTCAGCTTGTTCTTTTTACCCACTTTCTAAGTAAATAAAGCCACTTTGTGTATATTTAGCATAACCCCAAGTGACTGAAGGAACATTTTCATCCACGTGTATCAAGGAGAGAGACGAGCGTTGGTCACTGAAGATGTAGACATCTGAACATTACTGTGAAATCGTGTTGAGGCAACCAATAGGGGACTGGTTGTAGTTGTGAAATAGGTGAAAGTCATGCAGCTGAGGGGAAGCTTTTTTCAGTTAGAATGGAACATGGCGGAAATAAAATTACCCAAGGAATGCTCTATAGATGTTTTTAATTGGCTTTTAAAAAAGCTGTTCTAACCAGCCAACTAACGTCTGCTGGGATGGTGACGTCATCAACCATAGTCAAAAATGATTCGATCTTAAAACCCAATCAGCACAAACAACAGTTTTACCCGCAGAAATCAAGTGGCACTAGAAAATTACATAATTTGGAGTCTAATGATGGGATGTTTGACCTCTGGATGACCTAAAAAATAAAAAGTAGCACATATGATTTTTTATTTATTTATTATAAATGATAATTTTAAGTGCACCTACCTGCTCTAATGAAGCAATAACCGTTCATTCTAATTGCTGAATTTTTTCATGAGGATGGAGTGTCCCTTCAATTTGATCACACGGTCCACGGTGGGAACTCTGCATGTGAAATGCAGAGTGGTGAACTCCCCGCAGTGCTCGCGAAAAAAAAACTGCTGACACTGTGCTAGGTCTGACTGCAGCTTAAGCACGATAAAAACCTGAATACAGTTTGGAATACAGTGTGGATGTTTATGTTCACTGAAGTGGAAGCTAATGTTACAAAACCTTCAGATGTACCTGTCCAGTTGATGAATACATGGGTAAAAGTCCCGAGTCGTATTGATACTACTGTTATTCTACGGAAGCGATGGTAAACTTTATCAGAGTGGAAGCCTGGTGTAGGCCTGTGCAAAAAATCGATTCAATTAATCAATTCGGAATTTTTGTTCCTCCCGATTATTTATTTATTTTTATTTTTTTTCCCGTGAATTGGAAAAAAAAAATCATAAATCGAATTAAATATGAAAAAAATCTGATTTTATTTTTAGACCATATTTCCCAGCCCTAGCCTTGTGTATATTACCTTTTTGTTTATCGTAATCAAACAGCTTTTGGTCTTTCTTTTATGTATCTCTTTGTTATTTACTACATTTACTATAACTTGAGTATCTTTCTTTTAAAGTTTTTTTTTTTAAGCAACTTTTATTTTTAGGATTCACCATCATCAGAACGAAAGTAATTTATCAAACATGACTGTAAATATATCATAATCTTGTTAAGTTAGCTTAGACCTCAATGACCCTAAAAGCACATGACATTAATGTTGATCAGCAGAATCTGACAACAGGTTCTGCTGATCAAAGCATTTATCAGATTAGACAGACACTGAAAGATCTCTGCTTTCACCCAGACTATATTGCTGCAGAGGTCACACATCCTCTGAAATCCCTTCTTACTCTCTGATACCATGGCTGTACTAGGATATTTTGGTTATTCTCCTGGTCCCGTGAAGCTGCACCTGAATAATTTTGCCAAAGCAAAAAGAGGACATTAATAACATATAAATGTGGTCAGTACCTTTGTATTTGGAAAATGCTGCACGTTGTTATATTAATAATCATTACTATTATGTTGAGAACTCTACATTTTTCCAATATTCACTGTTGCCTATTCCATTTTATTTTTTTCTTTCCATTAAAAGTCCAATTTATGGCAGTGTTGTCTTTGCATGTCTCCTCAGATGAATGATAATCAGATAGAGAACTGGTCAGACCTTGACGAGCTGAAGAATGCCAAGTCCCTTGAAACGGTGTACCTGGAGCGGAATCCTCTACAAAAAGATCCTCAGTACAGAAGAAAGATCATGCTGGCACTGCCCAGTGTGCGTCAGATCGATGCTACCTTTATTCGCTTCTAAGCTGCAGTGTAACACCCCCCCCACCACCAAACATGTGTGTCACCTCACCTCCCTGCCTGCCCTGCCCACTAAAACACCTCTTTTAGCATATTGTCCTCACTACATCATAGTTTCACTCACAAAAAGATACACATTCCAGCACAGAACTCACTCAACATACAGGTGTGCATGTATGCACTCATACAAACCTCGATCAAAGATATTGTGTGAAAGATTTTATTTATTAAGGTGGAACTGTGAATATGGAAGAACTTCCCTACACTCATTTCCTCATATTTCCTCTGCACTTTGTTGTTTTTCCTTTTTGTTTTATTCGCATGTGGCATACAGTGGGCACCTCTGACGTTCTATGGCCATCAGGAAAAACAGGACTCAGTCTTACCAAACACATCATGTTGCACTGTTTCCATATCAGTAAAAAGGGGGGGGAAATCCCACTGCTTTTGAGATTTTGTTTTGTATTATGTTTTTTCTATAAGTGAACCTGAAGACCAGGTAAAGATCAAACACTCAAAGGGAGATTGTAGAAGAAACAAATCCAAGTTAAAATTGACCTAATTGTTGTTTTTTTTTTTTTTTTTTTAAATGCTTCAGGCAAAAAAAATAAAATCCCCATTTAGAAATGTAGGAAAACGCAGAAACTGAAGCCTTAAAACATCTGAAAATTAAAATTAGTCCAGAAAAGTGTCACATGCAGTTTTATTTTAGCAATAACATCATTAACTTGTTTGTCGTATTAAATAAACTGACATCAACACAAAGGGACATCTCTATGCGTCTGGCAGCCTTGTCCATTCCTTCACATACATAATTGCATAGATTTTCTAGCTGGTGAACTATTAAGACCTCTGCAGTATAGTAAAGCCTGTGAGAATGTAGGAAACTGTCCATACAGATATTTATACCGTCGCACTATTTTCTTAAGTGAGCCCTAAATCATAAAGCATTTGGTCTCATTTAGTTTTAGCAGCTTGTTTTTTTCTCTCTTTAAACACAATAAAATGTAGATTTTATCTGAATTAACTATATTCTAATGGCAGGACTGATCTCACAAAGTGTTTACGAATGCAATATAAACTCAGTGTTGGCACAAAGACATTCAACTACATTTGGATATGAATATTCTGCTCTTGACCTGTGGTATGGCTTAAATTCATTGATAGAAACTGTAAATTTCTTTTAAAGATTGTTTAGATTAAATGGCATCAAAATCATCCTAATCTATACAAAATTATCCGGTAAGTTTTTGTATTAGTCTCGGGCGCTGATGAATAACTCCCTGGTCCAACTGACTAGTGATTTCTTTACCAGAAAAAGATGCCGCACCTCAGGGATAGAAGATCACAGAATAACTCATCATAAAAAGTGCTTCAATTTGTGCACTTTTGTTCTATTATCAAACCTCTTTACAGCCTTTAATCGATAAATACGTACATTTTCAAAAGATTTTTATGACAATTTTTTGTCAAAAATGGCGAGATAAAACTATAGCTTGCTTAGATGGAAAAATTGATGTATTTAAAAGGTAGCAGCTTATTAAAAATTGTGTCAGGACCAACTATGAGGCTGTGTAATAACTATAGACCCATTAAATAAAGAACAGTACCCACAGCTAATACGAATGTAAGTTTCTATTTAGTTGATGAAATTGCGAGCTGAATTGAAAGGGCCACAGTGTGTATTTGTAAATATGGGACATCTCATGATATGGGTGTCATGTGCCATCATCACCCTTCCTTTTGTAAAGTGATGTTTTACTGTGTCGTTTGTGCCAGGCAGCACAACAGATTGCTGTGAGATTCAGAAAAGTAACAGAACAAAACCTCTCTGGTCATGTAGGAGCATTAAAGCAATCTGCTTTCAGATCCTTCTTGTCAGATCTGCGTCCTGAGGTCTGGGACCTGGTTGATGCTCTTTGCAAAATGAATGTAATATGCAAACAATAATAAAGTGACACTACTTAAGCAGAAAATGTGTTCTTGTCTTGACCACAGGCTACATTTTTAAAACTTGAGTTGAAATTGTGTGACTATATGTGATCATTAAAACAAAACTATTTATTTAATGATTGAGTAATCAATAGTTTTAAACAAGCTTGGTTAAAGCCACTTTGGTTTCCAGTTAATATAGGTGAACTTTGTCATTTTTGCTCAATCTTTTGAGTCTTTTCTAGTGTTCAAATTATGGGCCCTAGAATTCTCTATGTATCCATCTCAGATTTAAATACTTTTTCTTCTTGACCAAATATGCCAAGAGGTCTATGAAGTCAAGGAATGAAATGAAAAACAAAGTTCATTTCTACATATATGAAGTAAACCAAAGAGCAGTTCTGGAAACTTCAGGTCTAGAAGTTAAATACTGATCTTATAGCAATATGACTGAAGCTGAAAGTGCAAAAACTTAATTATTTAATCATAAGACTGTAAAAATAGAAAAAAATAATTGATTGAAGGGAAAAAAGTAAAACAATCCACTGGAGTTTTGTTTCCAAGTTTGAAGACGTTTCGCTTCCCATCCAGGAAGCTTTTTCATTTCAAAATGTCAGAAATAGTGTTCAGTTCGAGGAGTTATAGAGCCAAATCTTTGTTTTGGCTTAGAAAACAAGCAAAGTGAACCGGAAGAACTGGCTGCTCCTTCGGAATGAGGGTTGTTTGGGTTCTTTGTTAGCCTGCAAGATCGATACCCGTCTATCTGAAAGGGGGTCGTTTAGAGGGAATTGTTGGCATGGCTGTTTCCAAATAAACCTGAGGGTGGCAGAACCGACTATTGACAGCTTCAGCATGAGATTCAAAACATCTGGAGGTATTTTACTGAAGACAAAGACACAAGAAAAGGGAGAAAAGGATCAATTTAAAACATATGAACAGATTTTAAGGACTTTTTTTTTTTTTTTTTTTTACCTCATCCCAAGGAATAATTCATTAAAATTTGGTAATGATCTAGATCATGTGCCAGTTTTAGTTCTAAGTGTAGATCACAATATAGGGCGAAGTTTTCTGCTTGGTGAGGTCTGCGATCTCAGAGTGCTTTTCTCGTATCCTAACTCATTTATCATAAATTCATTTTATATTATGTCCTTATTACAGATGCCATAAGAGGGACCAGGCTCAGCTCTACTAAGGGGCACTGGCCCCTTCTGGCCCCTGCCTAGAATGGCTAGCTTGCAATTGTTGTGTTCTTACAGCATACAGCACCATGTCATAAAAAAACAAAAACATTTTTGCTCATTTCATGTATGATATCAAGGTATGGGGACTGGGATGATCATGGAATAACTCTATTTTATCTTTGATTAACAATCTGTTTTCTTTTTATCTATAAACCTGCTAAAAGATCAATATACAACACATCCAATTCTTTGGTATTGAGTATCTTTGAGTTGAACTACATTAAGTTTCAGTGATTTTAAAGCTTCAGAATCTGCATTAACATGGCAAAGGTCTACCGGTTCATTAAAAAGAAACTATTCAACAACAAATCATTTTAAGTATTAGAATATATTTTTGTTTTCTAATTTTACACTGTGGTATTTGTTTTTCAGATTGTCAATATTAGTTTATTTTACCAAAGTAAACTTGATATGTTTATTTTTTGGTATGTAAAGGGTCGGATATAAGAGGGAGTTTTTTCCAAACCATTGTCATTGGCATGATTATTGTTATTATTCATTGTTACAGTTAACTTAAGAGTTAGCTTTAGGGATTTTAATTATTAGTTGACTAAGCTTTAGGTATTTCTTCTTAATAAGTACTGAATATTTTCTTGTCTTTTCCTTTTTAAAAATTGGTGTAGGGAAATCATCAGAAAACGCATGACCCACTTATCACAGCTCCATCTTTTTAAAGTATAAAGTAAATAAAAATAACTCATTATAGGCATTTTTAGAGATACAAATGAAGCTCCTGTCTTTGTTTTGACAAAAAGAGGAAAGCATCCCATGAGGATTTGCTGACTACTTACAAAATGTGTTATACCTTTTTTTTTTTTTTTTTTTTTAATCTTATGGGTTTTTAATTATGCAAAATCAAATATTCAAAAACGTGTATAGTTCTAATGTCCTTTGTAAGCACCCAGTATCGTTAGGGGCTTTGCATATCCACAGTAAAGGTCTGTTTATTTTGACTACATCACCCATAATGCAACAGCAGCGGATTCGCGCCGTGCCAGACGTTGAGGAAAAAAAGACCGCAACGCGCATGTGCCAACTTTTATGTTGTTGTTCCTGGCGGTAAGATGGCGGCGCTCGGAGACTCTTCAGCTCCGGGGGTGAACGGGTTAATACAACAATTTACAGCAATAACAGGTAAAAATAAGCTTTTACTAAGCTTTGTAAATCATAGGGTCTCATGGGGGGTTATAATGGATAGGTTATTCTTCCACAAAACATATGGAGTAGCGCGCAAATAAGGAAAATGGACGCTTGGTCTCGCTGTGGCTCCTTCGCTGTCAATGCGATGCAGAGTGGAAAAAAACCAGGCAGTTTTTTAACTAAACTGTGGTAAAATCACACATAAAACGCTGACACGAATAACTGCTTTGAAATCAGATTTTCATACCCATTCATCATATAACGTATTGTCTCACTGTTCTCATAACACTAAAACATGTTAGTCTTGAGGCTGTTTTTTTTTTTTCGCTCTTTGGATAGCTTCTTTTCCGCGAGTGGAATGGACGTCGGCTGTAGAACATTCCCTCCTCTTCACTGCCAGCCTCATTTTGTGCTACTGTCATCTTCACTGCCGCTGTCATTTAAAATGTCCAAAGAGATACCGCTTTTCTTTTACACAATTAGTGTGTAGATACGCAATAGTTTCTAAACGCTATCAGATCGTGTGCGATGCCTTTCTCTAAAGTTATTTATTGGAGAAGAGATGCGAGTGAAAACAGGGACCAATGGACTTGAAAAGTGACGCGGTCATGCGCAGTACAGACGGAAGGCTACTAATGGCTGTGGAGTTTTCGACGCTTTAAAATGTGCTTGAAAGTGAACAAATGTAGTTTTTACGGAAAGGATTATGGCCACTGGAGAGAAAAAAAAAGTTAACTGATTTTTAAATTTCATTTCAGTTTAATATGGGGAGAAAAGTCAGAATTCTGATATTAAACTCAGAATTCTGAGATGAAAATCAGAGTTCTCAGATTAAAGTCTGAATTCTGAGATTAAACTAAAAATTATAAGGAAAAAAAAAGTCAGAATTCTATGATTAAACTCAGGATTCTAAGAAGAGAAAAAAATCTGAGAATAAAATCAGAATTCTGAGTAAAAAGTCAGAATTAGTTAACTTTTGCGTGATGTTGTCATAGAGCTGTTATCTACACATTTTCATGATGACTATTTCTTTTGGACCTTCGTATACTGCTGCATGTTTTACATGAGCTGTAGTTCTACGATATGGGGGTTCTCATTAAAGTTTAAAAGTCGACTGTAAACATTTTACGGCTCTGGTTCTCATATATGCTTAGAGGTCCTCAAACGGCACAGTTTTCGCTTCACTTGATTAACAACCTGTTTCAAATCTTTAAAGAATCTTAAACCTTTTTTCAACAAATTATGAATTGATTAATTGAGGAAATACACGTCTTAATCATTAGCAAAATAGTCCTCAGTTAGACTTTCATATTTATGATTTATTAAAATAGATAGTATTGGTTTGGCTTGTAGGGAGCAAAAAAGTTTAAATACTTTTTAATTTTGTTTTTTTTTAATGGTGTTTTGCTATAGACAGCAAAAATAAATATTAATAAAACTCGTAGTTGGGAAACAAATGTTACATATTTATGCTTGATGTGAATACGACAGCTTTTTTTTAATTAACTTTTATTTTTTTTCCCCCAACATGACAATGTTCCAGTTGTCCTCTCTTAAGTTTAAGAATCACTGTCAGTGGAGTCTGTGTTAGGTTTGGGTATATAATAGGGATGGAACGGTTTATGAAAATCGTGCGAACCGTTCGGTTCGACTGCCTCGGTTCAGTTCGCGTGTGTTTCGTTCGGTTCATGCGCCGCTCCATTTTCTCATAGGCGAAGCGTTTACACTCCAGAGCAGAAGGTGGAGGTACTGCAACCAAAGCCAACCCCAGTAGTATACAAGAAGAAGAAGAAGCAAAGCAGCTTAGCCGGGTGTAGCACAAAAAAATCAGTTGTTGTGGAGAATTGTGTGGGTATGGGGAGTGGGAAAGAACAGGAGTTGGAAGACGCGTCAGCAGCACTTTATAGGTCTGCTGTATGGGACCACTTTGCATTTGGAGTGACCTACGATGACGGCGGAAAGAAAGTTGTGGATAAAAGTGCAACAGTGGGCAAGCATTGTGTAACACGTTTTGTTTATGCTAACAGCAACACGACCAACATGTCAGGCTAACCCAGAAATCCCACATATTCCGTCAGCGCTCCCCTCCGCTCCGCCCCGCTGCGCTCCAGACCGCCTGGGCAAAGCAAAGCATACAGCCTCCGCTGTGGCTCCCGTCCGCTCTGCTCTGAGTTCCTTGGAGATCGTAGAGGGCATGCGCGAGATGATTAAATTCAAAGCAGCAAAACATGCCGTAATGATCCATGGTTTCTGCGGATCATTAAAAATAATTACAATTCATTAATTTTTTGGGATTTTTTCATTCATTTCATTAATTATTATTGGATTTCAGGGTAACAATCAACATATACCGAACCGAACCGAAAACCGTGACCAGAAACCGTGAACCGAACCGAACCGTGAATTTTGTGAACCGTTCCACCCCTAGTATATAACTCATGTAGCCCTTTAAAAGTTCTCATCGGGATGCACATCTCTTGGCCTGCACACCAAATATTGCACCCATGCATCCCTCTGTGATGCCAGACTCTGATGACAGAAGACTGTGACCCTCAGCTGAATTTATGTCATAGAAATAGCAGTTGACATAAAATAGCCATGTTGATATAAAGATAACTACCTCATCTATAAGGTAGAGAGTTGTATAGGAAACTGTAGTTGTGAATTCTATTTTAAATGACAAAAGGACATTTTCTACAGTGTTGGCTTTGGGGTAATGCCTTTATGTAAATGACATCACCATAATCCAGTGTATATATAAAGCATGATAAAGCTAGCCTCCTTTTTTGTCTCATAAAAACATTGTTATTATTTCTAAAATACAAACTATCTTGGTTTAAACTCTTTAACCAGACTCTAAGGAAATGGAGATAAAAGAGAATCACTTAGTAAAACCTCAATTTATTTTCTTTGTGAGATGCTCAGCCTTTGAACCCTTAAAAGGGATGTTTGATAACATGTCAAATGATACAAACCTTACTTTTTATGATAAAAATGCATTATGATTATGATAAATTGAATTTACAAATTTAAAGGTTTGCTACGGCAGAGTGTGTGCCAGGTTGTCTTTGGGTGCTGAAGGGTTTGTATCATCAGCATAAAGATGAAAATACACAATGGTGAGATTAGTGTAAATATTGTTGATGTAGAGCAGGGATTACCAACCGTGGTACACGTACACCTTTTGGTCCGAGTGCATTGCAAGAGGTACATGAAAAAAATTAATTTCTTAGGTAGTAAATTAAAGTAGGGCTGGGATCTGTTTTGCTTTGTGAGGGCCCAACTAAAGAATAAAACAAACTTTTTTCGACCAAAAAGTTATATTTTTTCATCTTTAGCTTTGACACACATCAAAACCAAGCAGAGGAACAGACTGGATAAAGAACAGCCAGGTATCAGCTGTTTTTCACACTGAGCTATCGGAGTTCATCAAAGCAAGTTTAGAAGTCATGAATGTTGGATTCAACGTGAAATAAATGGAGTCCGTCTGACTATAATTTTTGATCAGTATTTTAAATATGAAGGGATTCACTCATTTGATTAATTTTTGCTCAAGGAGGCATGTATGTTTACAATTGCAGGATAGTAACCCTTCAGGGCGCAACATAGGCACCTACAAGTATGGCAGCTGTTTAGGCTATAAGTCATCAACTGCATTACTCTTTATGGTATGCTCACTGTGTTGAGTTACGTTTAAAGGTCCCCAACCATTTAAAGTGGAGGTCTTCAGCAGGGAGTCCCTGTTGTTGGTTGATTTAACTGTTTTTTATATATTCCCCCCTGCAACTTTTTCCACTAATTGAAATGTCTTTAAATGCACATTAATATTAATGAAACACACTAGTAAACAGATAAATGGAGGCGAGGCAGAAGATGTCTTTCAGTCATCAATATTCGGCAACACGCAGGAGGTTTTTCAAGCTGGGCAACGTTTCATTCACAATATCTGTCCCATCAACGAGAAATCAGAATCAGAAATACTTTAATGATCCCAGGGCGAAATTACTTCCGTTACATTACTCCATTTGTAATAGAGTGAATGTAGGACCAGTTTGATATAACACAATTTCATACAATATATATAAAATTAGGGGGTTCCCGTTCCATCTCGCCATCAGTTTGGGAGTCCTTGGCCTGGAAAACTTCTAAGACCCCTGATTTAAAAATTTTTTGTTTAGATCTGTGCAAATTACCCCAACTTATTTTGAGAAGCTGCTATTTTGCACTTTCTATAAAGGTTTTTTTTATGAATGCTGTGGTTTCTAACAAGTATCATCATGTCCCTTACAAACAGACCAGGGAAAAATCTCAACCATCTGTCCATAGATAAGAAATGAGGGGAAAAAATTGGTACAGTAAAGATTGCAGGTAAGGAATAGCCCTGCTGTTGCAAAAAAAACAATAGCAGATGACAGCTTTATGGCTGAAGAGTTTATTTTATTTTATTATTATTATTATTTATTTATTTATTTATTTTTTAACCATTTTTAAGGCTGTAATCTGTTGTCACCAGTTAACCCTGTGGATCTATTGGGGTAAAATCTTAACTTTTGTTTCTTAAAGGAGAGTTATAAAGCAAATTTCTTGGGCTGGGCAATTAATTGCATGTGCAGTATAGTTTATTTTATAGTTTTTTAAATCGCAGATGCACTCAGTTTTGGTCACAGAGTACAAAGGAGTCTGACATTAAATTTCTCACTCTAGCCCTTTAGGTGGTGGTAAAACCCTTTAACTGGGTTTGCTGTCACACAGAAGGTAAAAGAAAGAGATTAGCATCTAGCAGGCAGATTCAGGCATGTAAATCAAAGTAAACACTTTTTCACACAAAGGTTACAGTTAGTCATGTAACAATGGACTCTGGTCAAGCAAGCTTTCAAGGCCATGGAAAAAACTGAAACTTTGGATGGAAACATCTACATGGAATTGATTAGAATGATTTAACATCATTAGTTGAAATCATATCAATATTTGTCAAAAATATTTTTCAAAATCATTCAACCCAAATTGAAATGTAATTGCCAGCTAAGAGTTTGGCTCAGTTAAAAAAGAGCTTTTTTTTTACTCTTAAATCTTTTTTCCTTGGGAAATTTAAATTTTGCCTGTCTTTATCAGCATTTTAAAAATAAACTGTCAGTCCTAAAATGTATTGAATGCATGAAAAGTGATCCTGAGCATGTAGGATTCACTATTGATTATTTCCTGATAGATTTTCTAAAGGGAAAAACAAAACCTCTAATTGAATGACTAAGATTTTTTATTTCATTCTTGTGTGTTCAGGGGCCACAGAGAGTGTTGGAAAACACATGCTTGAGGCATGCAACAATAACCTTGAGATGGCCGTGACCATGTTCCTGGATGGGGGTGGGATGGCAGAGGAGCCCAGCACCAGCTCCAGCTCGGCAGCTTCAAGCAGCAGAGCTCCCCCTACAGAGTGAGCTCATACTTTAACTCTACCACCCTGATTCTAGCTAAAGTTAGACTCACACTATCACCTTTAGCATCAGAAGCAAACTAGTTTTCATTGTATTGAGATGATTGAACAAAGCCCTGAATTAATTTGTATAATGAAGGGATGACTTTTTGCTGTTGTGTATATTGATATTTTGTTTAACATTTCAGTGAAGTACGAGCACCCATTCCCCAGAAGCAGGACATTTTGGTGGAACCTGAACCTCTTTTTGGAGGTAACATTCTTATTTTGCCCTGTCTTGCAGAAAACATTGCTGCTGAAATTATAAAATGAAAGTCTCTTTTTGTGTATTTGTTTAGTTCCAAAGCGAAGACGGCCTGCTCGATCAATATTTGACGGCTTCAGAGACTTCCAAACAGAAACAAGTGTGTACTTTACTTCTTAAATTAGATTGTGTAAAAATTTGATAGTGTTGAATTCTCCTTTACAGGAATCAGCAAGAAGGTATCTTTAACTTTCTGTTGTATTTTCTTTCCTAAAATGACTTGGAATGTTTTTGTCTAAAAGTCCGTCAGGAACAGGAGCTGCGGAACGGTGGAACAGTGGATAAGAAACTTAGCACTCTGGCAGACCTTTTCCGTCCTCCTATTGAGCTCATGCACAAAGGGAGCTTTGAGACGGTGAGAAGTCACCCTCAGGACACCCTATACCACACTTTTTGTCTGACTGGACTTTATGTGTCATTTCAGTCAGTAGCTGTGTAAATTTGGTGGGAAACCGGGTTTAAAAAAAAGCCCTAAACTTTTTTCATTTGTCAGTGTTCATTCATAAGCCTGGGAATAATGTAGAATCTTAACACAAAATGTTTTCTAGGTTTAGAGGATTCTTGGTCACAGAAAGTTAAAAAAAGCGCTCTGAAGTTCATACCAATATCATCTTCAATCAAAGATTTATCTGCTTAAAATGCAAATGCATTTAAAGTTTTCTGCTTAGATTTGCTCAGTAAAACTTTTGCGACTGACCTGTCTTTAATGAAACTGGTTACAGGATGTTGTTAAAAGAATAATTGGGGTTCCCTATGGAGAAAATGTGTTGCAGAAAACATCAGCTCTAAAGAGTTGTTTTGTTTACAAAACTTTAAGGGGCCTAAATAAAGTGGATAAACAGGCAATTATAGTTGGGGTGTTTTTATTAGTCTAGTGATAAAGAAATCATACTTGTAAATAAAAAAGGTTTGAGAAGCATTTTTAAAATAGGTAGGCTTTCCAAGAGAAGTACCGTATTTTCCAGACTATAAGCCACTACTTTTTTCCCACGCTTTGAACCATGCGGCTTATAAGAAGATGCAGCTTTTCTGTGGATTTTTCCTAACCGCCAGAGGGGGAAGTCAAAATTGGAAATGAAAGAATAGGGGGCTAATTTTCATTTAGCACAAGAACATGGTAGCAGCAGGCACAGCGGGGAACAATGTCCCAAATTCACACATTTTGACATTTATTTGCCGCATTCAAGCTGCTGAACCAATGAAGAGACTGGGATAAAGAGCTGTTGAAGCCCCGTCTTTCAGTAGAAGCTTTTACTGCTGTGAGCTAACAAGCTAACAGGCTAGTATTATTTTTCCCTTTTTAAGGGGGAAATGTAGAGCTTCCCCTACAGGTTTGGTTGGATATAGTTCAGTAGATATCAGTGACTTATAGCCCGGTGTGACATATATGTAAGTTTCCAGTTTAAAAAAAAAAAACATTGAGTGGGTGTGGCTTATAGTGAGGTGCAGACAAAAATGAATAGTCTGGAAAATATGGTATTTGTGATTGTAGAGCTTTAATTGTTACCCCATGCAGTCGTAGCCATACTTAAATTAAAGAGACTGCAAATAAGTTATGCATAGTTTTTTCTCATAATTGTTTAGTTGTCATGATTAGGGATGCAAGTTATTGTTAATGTATTAATCTAAAGTTGATTTCTCTTATCAGTTGCCTACTAATTAATAAGCAGACAGATCTTTTCAAAACATTTATGGCTAAATATTTTTTTACTATATGCCAAGTCAATAAAAGTGGCCGATTATATTTCAATAATTTATTGTGATAGCTGTAATTAATACTGAATATACAAACAATAATTTTTTTTTGCAAATTATTATAGTTACTTATAAGATATAAAAAGCAGGAACTTATTAAGTTACTAAATAATAAAAAGGGTTAATAAAGGGGAAAGGAAATTATACGGAACACGTTTTGGGAATCAAAACCGTTTAAACACTGATATTTGGACACTGATAAAGTTGCTGACCCTTCCTCCCTGTGGATCCTCACTGCTCTGGTTTTTATCTACTCTGTTCTGATGCTAGGAGCGAGAGAGCAGCTTGGCTTTATTTACTTCAGTAAGTTGGGAAAACAGTTTAAAGACGTTTTTAATCAAGAAAATCCTCATCACAATGCAATCTTTACAGTCAGGAGTGCCAGACTCCCAGCATACCGCTGGCTGGCAGCACTTTAACCCCTTTGTATATATTTATTTTTAATATGCAGAAAGCGCTGCAGAAATGATAACAGCTTGCATGTAGTGTCTATCTCCCCCAAAAAACTCATGGATCTGTTTTTCTGATTGGTGGCACTACACTGTCAATTTTCTGAACTCTAGCGTTGGACGTTCGGCACCAGAATAATCAGATGGGCCACTCCCAATGCTCAAACTCGCCTCTGGACCTCTCAACGGCATAACCCATAGACTTTGCATATAAATCAGAATTTTAGACGCCCAAAACGCGTTCAGTGTGAACACACCACTTATTAGGTTATTACTTCAGGAGTGTTTCAAATGTTTATATTTACAAACAGAACTGCATAAAGAGCTTTAAACATTGTAATAATCCCACACCAGACCCTCGATCAACTCCATGTTTCTGCTCTAGCATTCCTCCTCTTAACTTCTCTTGTAAATACCAGTGAGGCTCTGCTTAAGAATGACCAGCGGTTACAACTAATAGAGGCGGTAACATTACAACACCAGAAGAAATTCCTAATACAATAATTTGTTTACATCCCTACTCATGACAGTATCACAAAATATGAAAATCTATATTCCCCACCATTATCATTGATAACTGAAACCTCCTTTATAGACTTTCATCAAAGTGTTTTCTGTGTGTTACAGGCTAAAGACTGCGGACAACTTGAAAATAAGTGGCTAATGATCAACATACAAAATGTTCAGGACTTTGCTTGCCAGTGCCTCAACAGGGATGTTTGGAGCAACGATGCTGTGAAGAACATCATACGAGAACATTTTATATTTTGGCAGGTACGCATGTTATATCATGTTATTGCAGTGTCACGTGTTTGTGATGTGTATCCAGTAAGAGATCAATGCAGTTTGACATAAAGGGGTCAGCTCTATTGCTATTATTATGAAGTTAGTTTTACTGATTCCTTAAAACAAAGTCAGGATATGCCCATTGAGGTTCTTTTTCAGTAGTAGTAGTGATCGTACAACAGATTATCCTTTTATCTGCCTGTCCATTCGCCCATTCCACCGACAGAAATCCATTTCCTTCCTAAATCTATTTCATTGCAAGGGAAATACCAATTTCTTCACATTTCTGCATATTATCTCATCACCGTGACTCCATGAAAATGAAAATAAGTGCAACTCAGCTGAAAGTGATGCAGCATGTAAAATTAGATCATGGTTCCCTGTATTTGGACGCTGTTCAGTTCAGGAACAAGCTCAACATCCTTCTGTCCTGCCCAAAGTCCGACAGACACCATCAATTCTTTTGAATGAAAGTTTCTCTGTTATGAATAAATGTCAAATGTTTGACATTTTGGGAGTTTTTACTGTTTGTCCAAAAAACAATTGTGTGTTTTCTGGGACGGGTCATAAATGCATAAATCTTCTCCTCGTTGGTTTTCTCGTGCATTTTATTTCAGGAAATAACGGTACAGCTCTTCTCTTGCTAGGTTTATCATGACAGTGAGGAGGGACAACGATATATCCAGTTCTACAAGCTGAACAAGTTTCCCTACATTTCTATTCTTGATCCACGGACAGGTAAAAGGTTTTAATATATTTTATGGATTGTGTTTTGATGAGTAATGTTGGTTACAAAAACATTTTAGAATTTCATTTGTAGCTTTGAACCTTCTAATGAATTATGTGATGATGTGTTTTTGTGAACATTTTCAGGTCAAAAAATGGTGGAGTGGAACCAGCTGGATGTGGCGTCGTTCATGGAGCAGGCAACAGGCTTCTTGGCAGAGCATGGGCAGCTCGACGGGCCCACCTGCAACGCCCCTCCTGCCAAACGGGCTCGGGCAGTGAGTACCAGCTTTGTAATACCGTTCAACTTAGTCCTTTTCTAAACTTTGTTTTGCTCTGTCGCCTCCAGCGGCTCACTGCGTTTTCTCTTTCAGGAGAGTCTGATTGATGCCAGTGAAGACAGCCAGCTGGAGGCAGCGATCAGAGCCTCCCTACAGGAGACCCACTATGACTCTTCAAATGTCATTGAAGCCCCCGACTCCCCACGATCAGAGGATGAATCCGAAGCTGAGCCTTTCTCGGACAGCGAGGGACCCATCTCCGTTGACGGCTCAGACAGCGAAACGCCAGCGCCACACGAAGAGAGAAGTTCTACAAGCAAACACACAGCGAGTGCTTCGGTCACCACTGCCCAGCGTCTACATCCTGATAGTTCCACTTCCTCCCACAGAAAATCCCCGTACAAAGAGAACAATCACAGCCACAAAAAAGAGGAGAGCAAAAAGAACCACCTGGAGCCCCCAGCTCCTAGTCCACTTCCTGCTCCTCCTGAAGCAGACTCTGGAGGAAATCACTGCTCCTCACAAACCAAAAGCCCCGGAGCGTCCAACATCATCAGTACGACGTGCGACACGGACTGTCCTGATGACAATGGTATGAAGAAGTACCGATTTAAAGGCTTGTTGCAGGAGGATTGTGCATTCTATTTGTTCTTAAGTCATCATTTAAATTTGATAAGTTGGAGATCTTCATGTTCCCTTGATGACAGATTCATTATGGCTGCTGTTTCTATAACATACAAGAATAGCAGAAGAAAACCAGCTTATTTCTACATCTGAGAGTTTAGACCTACTTAGCATTCAGCATAATAAAGTACAGACTCACATTTCTTGACATTAATAGACTTACAGTATGTCTGTATAGACTTGGTTAGCTTGTTGGCAAAACAGTTTGCAAATCACAATAGTTTTCAGCCCTCGCTCAACTTGCTGCTGACACAATCCTTAATATCTAACTTCGACAGAGGATTTAGATTAAGACTATGCTGTCCTTCTATACTTTATGTCCTTCCTTCCTGTCTTCCATCTTTGTATATCTGTTTATGGCAAAGACTTTCTTGAGCCCTTTTTGGTTGTACTTATGGTTAACTGGATTTTGAACCTCTGGTATTCCCTTTCCTTTAATGTGGAGTGATGGCTTAGTTGTTAGAGATAGATCCTAATTAGAGGCTGTAAGATGATATCTTCAAAACACAATCTGTTCCTTTCTCTGTTGAAAACCCTTAAGGCTAGAATACACTGAATCCGACTTTGCGTCCAATCTGACAGAAAGTGGGCTTGCGTAGCTCCAACTAAGATAGACGGCAGATCATGTTCACTGTATATGGATGCTGTTAGTCAGACTACTCAGAAATTCAGCCGCAAATTCATGGGATTAACAGAAAGAGAGAGACACAGTTACAAAGTAAAACACATCCGCTTTGGGGGAAAATACAAAATAAAATCTGTTAATTGCACGGGTAAACTGTCCCTTTTTGGAGTCGCACATCGCTTATATCGCAAGCAGGACAGACTCATGCAAAAACAATGAATGAAACATAAAAAAATGTAATACTTTACCCATAGAAGGAATCCAGGAGGACAGAAAATTGATAAATCTGTGACCCTCTTGGAGCCCCACAAAAACATAGAGGGACAGAAAGCGCAGTACATCAACCTCCCCGAAAAAGGATCACTTCAGGAGGAGAAAAATGGATATAGTGAAATGGTGATCCTCTTTGAGCCTCACAAAAAGAAAAAAAATGTGTTAGGGGCAGATAGAGCAGGTAAGCACGGCGTATCTTTCTCAACTCTTTATAAAAAAACGAAAGAAAAACTTCTATAAACTTCATAGATCTCTCTCTGAGAATCACATCTCACTGCCTGAGGCAGCATATAAACCACCCCACCGCGTTTTTTGTTGTTATTTTTTTCTTTTCTACAGACTTAGATCTCATGTTTTTAATATAGGCCTGTGAACATTTTCTGTCAGTTAGGTGGGGCTTTGCTTTATAGAATTCGCTGGTGTCTTTTTTTTTTTTTTTTTTTTAAATAACATAATTTGTCCGTGTCAAATTTGGTCAATTGTTTTTATTTGTAGCGCAGAGACAGTTGTGAAAACAGTCTGCACAGATCTGCTCACCCTGCCTAGTCGCAGTCAGTGTAACATGGGGGGAAAAAAAATCTGAGCGGAGATTAAAAAGTCGTACGCAGCCGGTGTGTTCAGGCCTTTAACCTCATGGTGCTACTCAGTTCTACTCAGCATGCAGCTCACCGTTTCCTTGAGGTATAATTTCACCACTGTGCCTGTTTCCCATCCTTGCTTTTTTTTCTTCTCTTCTTTCTGCCCTTTGTTGTGTCCTATCTCTTTCATTTTCTTAATTCCTTCTTTCCTTGTGACCTTATTCTTTCTCACTTTTTTCTTTTCTTTTAGGCTCGTTCTCACTGTAGAATTAGTAAAAATGGGCTTTTATACTTTTTCTAAAACTAACATAAAGAACAGAGATCTCTGGCCTGAAATTTCCTTTCTCCAATATGTTTGATTGAACTAGGATATGTTGTCTTTTTAGCCCTCTCTGAATCTTTAAGTGCATTTCTTTGCCAGGTCTGATAATATCCTTAAACACAAATTTATTTGTTGTAGACTTGATTTAACATACTGTAGAGATGAATTAAGCTCTTTTGATTATCCTCAAATCCCATCTACAATTTAAAAGAGAAAACAGGCTTAACCACTGCAGAAAGGTGTTCCAGCTTTAATTTTTGTGATTAAAATATTTAGGTCGGTGAATCTTAGAGAGAAAAAAAAACGTCCGTTTAAAGAAAGGATTGAGTTTCAGTTTTGTTTTCCAGCACAATTAAGTAAGATCTGTTTAGAAAGCAGCTTCATTGCTGTAGAAAAGGATTTAATGTGGTGCTTTTTTTTCCTTTTTTTTTTTTCCAAAGGCCCTAAAGCCAGGTTGATGCTTCGTTACCCAGACGGACAAAGAGAGCAGATCTCCCTATCCTCAAAAGCAAAGCTTTTGGTGAGTTTAACCCATAATCTAATAACCATACAGTGCCTTACAGTATTATCTTACCCATTATTTATTTAATATTCCCCATAATAAAACCATTAGTGTGTATTTTAGTCTGATTTTCTGCTGGAAGAACACAAAGTTGTGCTTAAATCACGCTTATGACAAAAGCTTTATGGAAGAATTAGAAGACAAAAGCCTGTAATGAAAGGAAGTCATAAAAGGTTTTGTTTACAGATTGACATATATAGGAGAACCTGTTAAGGCTGTTACATACTTTACGACTGAGGCCTTTTTCTTGTTCTCAAAGTAGCAAGAAGAAGTAAAAAGTGCCCTCAAGTGTTTATACTCCATTAGAAACTCAGCTGCTTAGGTCCGCCCCTCTAAAGCGCGTCAGTGAAGATAAGTGAGTGGGTGGACTACCTCGCTAGGATGATTTAAAGAGAAAATGGTGTGAGTGTGCTGAAGTGGCCATTCCAACTAAGACATAGTTTAACTGTAACTACAGTGTTAAGTTGAACAGATACTTAAGGCATCTCTGCTCCTGCATAAACATCGCCACCTAAATCCAGTAGTAGGACACTTGCCTAGAAAAAAATAATCTCTACCCAGATGTGTCGAAAACAAGCAGTGAGACCAGAGCAAAATTATGCAATTCTCTGTGGGAGCGAGAGAAAAATGTGGAAAAAGTAACAGCCTGTAGTTACAAAGACTTGAGAAAATGAGGAACAGCAACGCTAACATACAGGCAGCGACAATAGCATGCTTTAGGTAAATGCTGACTGTGGTGGGATGCACAGTCAAAATCCAGACTTTGCTCCAACAGATCCTCTCATTAGCTCTTTATCCATACAAACATTGACGTTTAGAAAAAAATGTTTAATAGTTTTTAAAGGTTGTGCTAAACATTGTAAATTGCAGCTTTCATAACTAACGCATTGTTACACTCTGTCCCTCTAGGCCCTGGTAAGACACGTCCAGTCCAAGGGTTACCCTAATGAACGCTTTGAACTCGTCACCAACTTCCCTAGAAGGAAGCTTGCCCACTTGGACTATGAGATCACATTGCAGGAGGCAGGGCTTTGTCCACAGGAGACTGTATTTGTTCAGGAGAGGAACTAGCCACCCCAAAAACTTTCTCTTTCTGCTTCTGTATTTCTAATAGACTTCACCATTTCACACATCGACAACCTGGGCTGACGTTGATGGCGATACATTCAGCTCTAAAGGAGGCCGCTTGTTGTGTCAGGGCTGATGTTAAAGGGTTAACTTTGACTGTCTGAATACTGAAATCTCCACCGACAGTCTAATGCCTTTAAAACGTTAAAGAATTGGCCAGTATGGCTTTCAGATATCAGTTTTTTTCCTAATGATGTCTGTTCTGCACTAATACAGCACATTAGAGCAGAAAACACAAGGTCATCTCCTGTTCATAAAACCTCAAATAACGAATCACTAATTGACTGTGGGCCACCAGAGACTTGTACAAAAAATACTTTTACTTCCCAAAATGTAGATTAAATGTCAGAGTTTATTTTCTAGCTCTTCCTTGTTTCGTTTATTCTGTAAATGAACAAGTAAAGGGAGGTTGCTTTTTTTTTTTTTTTTCCCTTCATTGTTTTTTTCAAATGTTGAAACTCAGAATGCAGGAGTTCTTGAAGAACAGGTCCAGAAGTAGCAGTCGGACTAAAATGTCTATTAATGCAGAAGGGAATGAAAGGGAAGGTCGTGCAGCACATTAGAGGGACCTACACCGTACACAGACAGCATAATAAGACTGACATTTAGCCGTAGTCACTGTTTCATTTCTATTTTCTTTCTTTTTTATATGCTCCAGAGGAAATATGCTGATGTTGAAATATACCCACAAAAAACTAAAATATTCTGTTTGATCTTTTCTCAAATAGTTGCAGGTTTTTAATCAAAGGTCAAAATGTAACTCGGGTTTTGATGCGCAACTCTCAAGAATGAAAAAAGGCTTCTGAGTTCTGGAGATTTTTAGGCAGACTCCATATTTTCTAGCAAAAATGTTTTTTGCTGTTCTTTTCACCACTGCTTGGTTTTGACTTTTTCTTCTGGTGCCGAGACGGTTGTACGTGGAAGCAAATGTTTCGGCACTTAAACCAAAAATTTAAATCTGAACTTTTTCTTATGAACAGCTGGTGGTGGTATCGTGCCTTTAAATGCCAACAACAAATGTGAAGACCATTATTTATAGTAAAAGGAAAGGTTTTAAAGGTTCTCGGCAAACACCCTGTTTTTGTGTATGATTTGTTTTGTTTTTTATCCAGTTGAAAACCAGGGGCTGTCTGGTAACCTGAAGCTGTTCTTAATTTAAACTGGTAATACAGATACGATTGGTTTGTTGCTGTTGAACAAACATGATATCCAATTTAAAGGTGATTTTTTTTTCTTTTTGTTTTATTTTGGCTCAAATCAGTCCTCCTTAGAGACCAGCGAAGATGAACATGACTCATGAAGTGATATTAAACAAAAAATATAAACAGAAATGTGTTGTCTAGCTAAGGAAAAGGATCTAGTGGTAGCGTTGCGTGTTTTAGCTAAAAAAAAAACTCAGAGATTAGCTTATTGAAGAAATCTACCAGCCTCTGACTTTAGTCAAACTTTTCCTCTCCCCGCTTCCACGTCTGATGACTGAGGGGGTTCTTACACACCCTTTCATATTTTGGATAAGAGCAGCCTGAACGGAACATCGATACATGCCAGGAGCTGTATGTTGACCTGAAAAATCATTTAATATGTCTCAGGTAAAGCTAATATTTGAGTCAAAAGTTAGAGTGTTGCTTTAAAGAGACCTTTAGACTGCTGAGTAATGTCCTGTTATCTGCTCTTGTATGCTTTTACCCTTTTTAAATGGGATATCATGCAACAAAATATCCTGGCAGAGGCCTTCACAAGATGACCTAGTTTTTAGAGATCACCAGAATAAAAAGAAGTAAAACTAGACCAAACATCTGAGAAGGGGTCCGATTGCAGAAGCCTGATTGGCAAACAGCTGCTTTGGGCTTCCACGCCTCTAGAGGGCTCCCAAGAGCACAAGAGTTCACATTAAAGACAACTTATTTCACAGTTCTTTTTTTAGCTTGCTTCACATTGGTGTTTTCTGATAATGAAGCATAATGATGGATAACATTATCTATCGGCCAGTGTTAGGATCTAAGCTCCTAAAGCTCACCAACTGGCTAATAACTGGTTTTATATACCATAGGTTCTCCTTTAAGTTTCTAAATCAATGATTTACAGGTAAAGCAGCATAGATTTGTTTGGACATGCAGTTCATGTAATCCATTGGTGTAATAGAATAAGAATTACAGGTGAAAGGCCCAAATGTTCAACTATTAATATGGATTAAGTGAGACACTTGTAGATAGTGATTGTGGGCACAGGCCCATACATCATTTTCTATTTATGGCCTGAGGTCTGAAGGTCGTGGAGGAGTAGACCATAGATGTAGGTTTAAAAATATGAATTGTACTAGAAAGGCGTTCACCAAAACTAAAAAATAATGTAAAAAGAGGGTCTGAAATCGACACAGTGAGGTTTAGACCACCATTCAAAAAGCATCCATTACTTGCATTGTGTGAACCTAAATTGATACACTGGCAAGTTTATGACCTATTTATAACATATTAAGACCCCAGAAACGGGAAAAAAAAAAAATTAACTGCAAAGAATGTAACTGCAAAAATTTTTGAAAGCTGTTAAAGCCTTTCTAGATTTGTCCCTTTCAAATAGAAAATTGACGGCCATACCTTACATACATAACACACCTTACTGAAGCTGACTGCAATAGACAAAAACTCTTCCTTTAGGCGTCTCCTTCAATCTCTCACCCATCCTAAGCTGCTCATATTTTTCCACCATTTTATGAAATTATAGCCTTTTATTTAAGCATTGTTTGTGTTTTGTATCTGTTGATTGTTATTTAAGGGTTTCCCTCTGTCATCGTGCTGATTTTAATTTTCTTTGAATGCCCAGCCATTTTTTAAGAGCCACAAACCGTATTAGCAACAATCATTCGGTTCGGGGGCAAAGGTCAGTTTAGAGGGGGAAAAAGTCTTGCAGCTGCACAAATAGATGAGGGCATTGACTCTGCTTCACTTGCCTTTCTGTATGCATTTTACAGTTTTAGATACACTGTTATTCACCTCTTGTTCTATGTGGAAAGTAGAGAAAAAGAGCAACTTAAAATAGAAAATGTTTCTAGAAAATGTTAGATCTTTAATCCTATGCAGTACTTTTTACTGCTCTAGGGTGTTACTAAGAGTATATGTGCATTTTTTTATATATAAAAAGTTTTTGGCTGCAAACTGACGCAGTGGGTAGTGCTGCTGTCATGCAGCAAGAAGGTTTTGGGTTCAATTCCTGGCCCAGGGTCTTTCCACATGGAGTTAGCAGGTTCTTTCTGTGCAGGGTTGGGTTTTCTCCGGGTTCTCCGGCTTCTTCCCACAGTCCAAAAACATGTCTTCATTGGCTTCTCTAAATTGTTCTTAGCTATGAGTGTGTGTCTCTGTGTTGCCGTGCAACAGACTGGCAACCTGTCCAGGGAGTACCCTGCCTCATGCCCATAGACTGCCTGATATGCACGGGCCCCACCACGACACTGGCAGGACTAAGCAGGAGAGGATGGATGAATGAAAATTACCTTTCTTCCATTTGGGAGCTTTAATTGCTGCCCTGCACTTATATGCGTTTCCTAAAATGAGAAAAGATTGCAGCCAACATCCACATTTTATTGTAAATCCCTTTATTGTCCCACAATGGGGAAATTCACTCTAAGCATTTTACCCTTCCCCTTCAGGAGCAGTGGGCTGCCATTGCGCAGCGCCCGGGGAGCAGTGTGGGGTTAATGGTTTTGCTCAGGAACCCAGAGTAAAGGCTTTAGGGATCGAACCAGGGACTTGCAACCTTCTCAGAGCACAAGCGCCCTGCTCTAACCCAGTAGGCCAACACTCGCACAATCTCTAAATGTATAAGTTCTGAAATGTAACTGGGACAGCAGAGGGTTGCCTGGTTGCATAACAAGCTGTTGTCCTCGACCATAATCCGGCCTTTTAGCTGGTTCTGAGAAAGAATCAATAGAAGTTAATGTCTGACCAGCAGGCCATCTCAGATCTGAGTTCAAAGTAATGAGTTACTGAGTTTTTCACATGAAAATCAGTTCAAGGATCATGAAATAGCACAAGTCATGACAAAAACCTAACCATTAAAAAAAGATGACAATCCACAACTTAAAAAATGAATGTAGAATTAATAACATTGTAGGCTGTGGAATTTGATTAAAGTTTAGTTTCTGCTTCTTGGGTGCAGAGCAGAGATGTCAAAGCTTTGAGTTTCTTTGAAATTTATCTCAACTTTATGTACAGCTCAGAGTCCCTCATCTGCGATTTCTGAATAACGTTTTTTGGGCCTTTTCTCAAGTCTTAGAATTAGGCTTCTGGTAATTCACTATAGCTCATTAAATGCAAATTTCTCAGTCAAAAACAAACATCTGAAAATTTAAACATCTAGTATATTTCGAATAGAGGAAACTAAAATGTTAGAAATTTTTAAGAGGAGGAGCTCTGTTCAAACAGCACCTTCAGATGAGAGGGTGAACCCCTAAAGTGCCTTTTTTAAAGTATTCATACGCATAGAACTTGTGTATTTTTTTCACATTACAATGAGCAAACTGCAGGATGTACAACAATCATGTGAATAATTTAGTTTTTCAAATGAGACTGAACATTTGCATTTTATGCAAACTGCTTAAAGTGAAAGAAAATTAAATGGTAAATGGCATGTACTTATACAGAGCTTTTTCAAGTCAGAGGACTTGACCAAAGTGATTTACACTACATTCAGTCACACACCCACACACTGATGGTGGCAAGCTACATTGTAGCCACAGCTGCCCTGGGGCTCACTTGACAGAAGAGAGGCTGCCATACACTGGTGCCACCGGGCCTTCCTATCACCATAAGTAGGCAATGCAGGTTAAATGTATTTCCCAAGAACATAACGAAACTGAAAGCCAGAAACGGGGCTCGAACTGACAAGCCTCCAGTTGCAGGACAAACTCCATCCAATGCCACTGTCACCACAAATTACAGCAGGCAGAGAACTCTTAACACAATTGTTAAACATGACGATGGGAGCATGATGCTGTGGCGACTCTAAGCATGGACAAGTTTTCCATGGTTAAAGGAAAGGTTGATGGGGAGAGTATGAGGGAAAACATTTAAGAGGCTGCAAAACTCTGGGCATTAGGGTGGATGTTTATCTTACAGTACATGGCTACAGCTATTAAAGAAAGGGACATATCAAAGCTAATGTTTTGGAATGTCCTAGTCAAAGTCAAGATCTAAATCAAATTTAGAATCTGTGGGCATTTATAGATAAAACCTAAATGTGTTTTTAGTCAGTGGTGATGGGTAAATTAGAATCAAAGTTCATTATAGAACAGAAGTGGGAACCATTCAAATCCTAAACCTTTACTGTATGCAGATTCTAGAAAAGGTTATTGGAAAATCCCAACCTCCCCAGTGAGTAAAACACATTGATGTTACTGTGTTATCATGAGCCATCATCACGCTGCTGAGTGAAATGTCAGTACAGATTGACTAAGAACGAGCCATCTGTGAGGACGCAACACCA